AGAAAATGTGAAGGAACAGATAAAATCCAGAAACCCAGGGCTCACTAAATGGAGGTCTGGGATAAGGGGGGGGGTGTGGATGAAGCCAGCCACTCCCCCATCTTTGCATCACTCATTCTCAGGGGAGCTCGGATGGGAGCCCCTGGACTTAGCACCCCAGACTGGGGGATGGTGTACTCAGGAAGGGGCGCTGGTGGTCAGGAAATGGCAAGTGATACCACTTTGTTGATGTGGCCTGACCGCACGGAGGGAGCCAGGGCCATATACCCTCTGTCCCCTGGGCATGTGCACCCCAGGTATAACCCATCTGCGTCGCTGGGAGAGATGCTACAAGCAGGGCTGGGGACTGAGCCCTGCTGCTCATCACCAAGGCCCTGCCTCCTGGCTAAGGCCAGTCCACCCTCTTTGGATTGGTTGTTCACCTGCCTATGGCTGCACTCTGGAGGGAGCCAGGGCCATATACCCTCTGTCCCCTGGGCACGTGCACCCCAGGTATAACCCATCTGCGTCGCTGCGAGAGATGCTACAAGCAGGGCCGGGGACTGAGCCCTGCTGCTCCTCACCAAGGCCCTGCCTCCTAAGGCCAGTCCACCCTCTGGATTGGTTGTTCACCTGCCTATGCTGCACTCTGCTCCCTCTATCTTGTTTACAAGGACATCGGACTTTTCTCGACGGCTTGGGTGAGTAAACATTCTGCCTTTTCCAGAATGTCCCTCACAGTCCACATCATACCCTCCCAGCAGCCACGTTTGTGCTGTGAGATTCTGGCCATGACCAAGTAGCACAAGAGTACATTTATTTTTAAATTTTTATTTATATTTCTTATTACTTTTTAAAGTATATTTTTATTGATTTCAGAGAGGAAGGGAGAGGGAGAAACAATGAGAGAGAATATCATGGATCGGCTGCCTCCTGCACGCCCTCTACTGGGGATCGAGCCCACAACCCGGGCATGTGCCCTGACTGGGAATCTAACCGTGACCTCCTACTTCATAGGTCGGCGCTCAACCACTGAGACATGCTGGCTGAGCCAGTTTCTAGTTTTAAATATTAATCTAGGTTTTGTTATTACGATATCTTGTAGCTATGACCGTCTATAAGGAGACTTCCAGTTTCAGCTGACATGGAAATGGATTGGAAGCCATCACTCCCATCCTAATCAGAAAAGAGCTAAAGAAACGGAGAACGCAGCGACTCCTCTGGGACCTACCGAGGAGCTGAGGCTGCGGTGCCAACTGCCGCCCCGGGACCGGGAGAGGTGCACACACAGACCTTGCGGGAAAGGCCTCCTGGAGCAGAGAGCGCTGAAGCCGGGGCAGACAGCACCCACACGGTGTTTCTGACGCCTGCTGGGCGCGGCCCGGACCAGTGCGTGTGAGACACACCTGGGCTGCAGTCCTGGTGGGCAGAGGGCACACTGTCATGGCTACTCCTAGGATCCTGCAGGCTCTCGCATTCAGAACCAAGAGGAGTCCCCTCACAGCTCCAGCAGAGAGAAGAAAACCAACCATCCTGAAATCCACCGGGATCTTTCTCCGGGACAAAGGCCGGCCCCCCAGGAAAAAGCCTTTCCAGAGCCTCCGTCACTGAGAGGGAAAGAAATTGGTTAAATCGCTTCATCACAAACAGGGGGAGCTGTTTGTCCCTCTGCCAAAGAACTTTCCACATGAGCCAATGCTTCAGCACGACGAGCATCTGAAACACATTACTTTCTACGCAGCACGCTGCGGCCTCACCAGGCTCCTCCCTTATCCAACGACTAGTTCAGCGTGACTCCTCCAAGGCTTCCCGCTTAAAGGGACAGGCTCTGACATCGAGAATTCTTTAAGGAGGCGCCTACGCAATAAGCTGTTCTTGCTTTCTCTGGGGACATATATTTGGTTCATGGCATTTTTTGGTATTAACCATTTTTATGATTTTTTTTCTCAAAATGAAATAGCGTTCTTGTATTATGTTTCAAAGATAAAAATCACATTAGTATTCTCAGGAATAAACTTTATTACTAGGGCTTTAAAATGCACACAAGAAAACGGTACTAGTACCTGCAGATAAATATGGTGGGTGAAGGGAAAGGAACTCTTAGGAAAATGCTATGTCCTCGCTAGCGTATCTCTTAAGCTCCCTCTGCTGGCTACCATTTAAATAGAGTAAAAAACAAAACCAAGCCATAAGCCTCTTTTCTTTCTTTTCTTTGGAGAGTTGCTGGGAGATGCAGGGTGGAACTGAGGATGCGGTTGAGGCTAAGCCTGCTGCTGCCTGCCTTCCCTAATTAGGCTGTAGGACTTCCAGAGTTGGCCCAGGGGAGTAGGTTTAAAATAGGGCGAGTTCTTGTCAAGTCTGAATATGTTAATCATTAAGTCGATATGCAAAACTACAAAAGCATTTAATATAAAATGAAGCAATTATAAATGGTTAGCATTTAACACTGGAAAATTAAGAATTTAAATATATTTCACAAACTCCACTAGAACAATAAGTTTGTAATATTATTTAATCTATTCGTTTAAATATTAAGGTTTATTTTTTTCAGAGTGAGATTAAGTAACAATTTAAATAATTATCAGGATGTATAAATGAACATCCATTCAGATAAAACATTACTGCTTAAAAGTGGATACGAAATATTTTGCATATAATAAATATATTTAATGTTTAGGTTAACAAGCACCATCTCGAGAGCAGAAAAGTGTTTTTTCATAACCAATAAATAAATTACATTCGGGAAAACAAGGTGTTTCTATGTGAAGTATCAGATAGCCTCAAATGTTTTTCTTAATATAGCACCCAAACTTCCAAACTGCCTAGAAAGTATCTCCCAAAATATAACTCATACCTTAAGTCATAAAAATAAAGGCCAAGAAAAAATCAATTTAAGACAAAATTTACAATTTATATTAATTCCCCATTCAATAAAATACCAACTTCCAATTGTTAAAAGTAAATGAACTGTATATATGCAATCCGTTAGTGCTGAAAATCTGAAATATATATTTTTAAAAGTCATTCTTCCTCAAAGTATTTAAAATATTGCATCTCTGGTGACAAACCTGAAAATTATCAAGCATTTTATTTCCCTAGTTTTCATACTTCTGCTCCCATCCCTACCCCTTTAACCTTTAACAGTCATCCAGCTTTTTCTTTTTGTTTTGTTTTTTTTGTAAATACACTTACTTACATCCCAAACACAAAACACTGACAATGCTCCTTGGGAACCAAGGAGACCCCAGAACAGCCCAGCCCACAGCTTTGCTCCCCAAGCGTGGCACAGGCGCGGTGACACAGGAAGCCGTCACCGGCCCTTCCCGATGCCTCAGAATGCTCCCGAGAGTCCACAGCTGTTTGAGGCTTTGCTGATGCAATCCCGAAGAAAGTGTCAACACATTCTGCAGACAAATATCAGAGAATAAGTCTTTGATTGATAATTTTTCTATTTATTTCTGCCAAGGCGACTGAAAACACAAAAGCCTTTTCATCAGAGAGGTTAGCATAGATGTCAATTTCCTTTTCCTGTTTTTCTGTTAAAAGAAAAAGGGAAAGCTTACTATAAGGCGGTAGATGCAGCATTTTAGTTTAAAAATTTATAGCTTTCAAAGTATTTCTTTAAATGACAATATTATACATGATAGTATGATGTACATTAAGTATTTCAAAGTATTATGCTACTGAACTTTAAAAAATTTTAATTTCAAAGGAGTTACTGAAATGTCATGAACTACATTCTAAAGACTAACTGGAGAGACTATATATATTTCTAGATATCTTCAATATCTACATCATTTCTGTAAGAATCTCAAATATTTCTTTCTCATCACTGGTATGGGCCAAATGACTGTACCAAAATGAATTTTCTCACCCTAAAGATAGTCCTTCCTGAAAATCAATGGTGTCTTTGTGAATATATTAACTTCACCTTAGCCTTGCTACCAAATAGAAGAATAACAAACATTTATTTCTATTTTTCCTTTCCTGATTAGAAATGTAATGCAAGTTCCTGGTAGAAAACATTTTAAATACAGAAAGACAAAAAGAAAGCACCTGTCTCATAAGTCAGCTAAAATCACAATTAGCATTTCTGTTTACATTCTTCCAAAATTTTCCAAGCTCTACCATGATTCTACTTTCGTCTGGTTTTTATGCTGTTACTGTTTCGCTCTTTAACCCAAGTTAAATATTCATATGCCTTAGAGTCAAATCACTCTTACAGAACTGGCTACCACAATCAGAAGTCCTCCTCCCACGCACATTTCCCACTCTCAGACGCACCCACATTTTTTTCACTTGTTCCTTCTTGTTTCTACCTCTCTCTCTGTAAAGAACATTTGTACATGATGCTCCTGCTTGGTTTTTTTGTTTATTTTAGGCATTAACTGACTTTCCACAGCGGGAAATTAGAATTGTATTGTTTTTCCATCTCTTGCCCCCACTACACGCTTCCCTCGCATCTTCCCATTATAGTTACATCACAATTTTGGTGAGATTACTATTCAATGTTTACATTATTCTGACTATGTAAATGATTTCACTTTTCACGTACACTATCTTCCCTGAAAAGATTCTCTTTTTTACATCTGCTTAATTTTCATTACTAATTGAACCAAACTCTCTCCAAGTTGTATAAAATTTTCAGAATGTTTGCACATAATTAGGTCTTATATCAATTTTTCTTCCTGAATCAATCTCTGCAGGTCTTCTGCTCTGCTCCAATCTGAAATGGCCGCTTTCTGAGCCTCCTCATGGCACATTATCATCTTGAGATCTCTCTCCAACATCATGCTGCAGATTCTCAACCCTCTCTCAAGTTGGACCCTGTGTCCACATCCCAGGATACTTTCCTGGTTCACGTCTTCATTTTGGTGGCATGTATCTTGCAGTAGCTTCCTGAGAAAGGGATACAGGCAGCAAATTTTTGAGACCCTGAAGGTCCAAAATACGTCTTTAGTCTCCCCTCCCACTAACTCATAGTGAGGTTGACTAAAGACTCATAGATTTCCACTCAGTATTATGAAGGCAAAAAACTGTCTTCCATTAACTGGTGCTACTGCTAAAAAAAAACCAACACCCCTTTTACAGTTTTTAAAACATTATTGCTAAATCTACAGTGAAATACATAAACTAGATCTTAAGTGTATAATTGGAGGGATTTTAACAAACATACGCCAATGTAACCCACACCTCACTCAAGATACAGAAAATTCCTCACACTCCTTTCCCGACAATCCCTCCCCACCCCATCCGCAATGACTTGATTCCATCGCCATAGAATAATTTTGCCTGCTCTTAAACTTCATATAAATGACATCGTACTGTTTTGTGTCTAGCTTCTGTTGTTTAACCTGTTCTTGAAATTCATTTATGCTGTTCATGGATCAATAGATTGTTCCACTGTATTAGTTCTAATACCATTTTGATTCTTTTGTCTTTTTTCCCTGAATAATGGAGGGTTCCCTTTAACCAGAGAGAGATGACTTATGATAATATGCTTTGGCAGAACTTTACTTTTAACCATCTACTGAGAATCTGGTGGGCCGCTTCAATATGAAACTCAAAGTTCTTCAGGTTTGGGAAAACTTCTTAGATAATTTCACCGATGACTTCCTTCTCCTCCATCTTCTATGTTCTTCTTCTGCAATGTCAATTATTTATAGATGTTGATCTCAAACTGGTCCTCTGAATTTCTTACCTTTCCTATTCTATTTTTTCACCTCATATCCTATTGTGTAGAACACTGGTTCGCCATCGCTGTTCTACACTCTGGTACATTTCTTCAATTTTTGTCTATAAGCCTTTGGTGATGGTTTTTCATTTCTGAAAATCATATATATATGTTCATATTTTCAAGTTCCTTCTCCAGGTACTTTTTGACACTGGCAATTTTTGTTTAAATGTCATCTTGTTCTTGTGTTATGACTACAAGAGCCTTAATTTTTTCTTCTCCCTGCAAAAACTTGTTTTATTCAAATGCTTTCTCTTCCCTGTTGATTTTGTCTTAGCCTTTCACACTAGATCAGTCGAGCCCACAACCCGGGGCTCGGCGTGTCAGCATTTTGAAAAACCCTAACCTAACTCTGGTGCCGTGTCACATATAGAAATTTTTTGATATTTGCAACCATAGTAAAACAAAGACTTCTATTTTTGATATTTATTTTATATATTTAAATGCCATTTAACAAAGAAAAATCAACCAAAAAAATGAGTTCGCGTGTCACCTCTGACACGCGTGTCATAGGTTTGCCATCACTGCACTAGATGCTTTCTTCCATGCATCCGGGTGATTCTTGGCGATATGCTCAGACTTGGGAGTGGGACCAGAAAAGCCGATTAGCTCCTGCACACAGGGAGCTGACTGTGGCCGTCACTCAGGATGATCCGCCTGGGCCGTGTCTTTTGTGATCACGATGAGAATGTCTTTAGTTTAAGCCTTTGCTCTTGGGCTCTTCAGAGTCCCTAGAGAAGATACTTCTCATCTCTTACCTGGAAGACATAAGCCTGACCCGCAGAACTCATTATCTAGCATCTCCAACTCTCACCTCACCTTGATCTTCATATAGTACCCCTGCCCTCAGGGAAGCCTGGTGTTCCCTAGGCCAAAGACTCGCTTCTTCTCATCTTTCTCAAAGGATAAACTTGGAGAGAGGCGAGGACAAGGTAAACAGCCTTAACAGGATATTTTTAAAAAATACTCTTTCAAACAATATTGTTTTAGCCTCACTTTCACCTCTATACTTCCAGACACAACTGGTGTACAAATTCCTCATCTTAAGGCAGTTGTATAATAAAAATCAGTTTCTTTCTTAGCTTTCGCCAAAGGAGCTTACAATTTAGGTTTCATAGGTGTGCTAAAGCAGTTCTCGTTTTCCAGAATTTTGCTGCTTCTCTCATTCCTTGTCCTTGTGGGATTTTTAAAAATATCCCTTTACTAGGATTTGGGGAGGATACAGAGCTAAATGTGTTTATTTAAACCACCATCTTTAACTTGAAGTCTAGAGGAATTCTATATGTTCATTAATAAGATATTCAGAATTGCCCAATATATTTTAGTCAAAAGTGTCACTACATTACTAATATCCCAAGTAATCATACTCCCCACATATAAAATGAAGACTTATCTTAAACAAACCAAAACTTGTTATGTTCAATGGTTTGTTTTTATGATTTTATAAAGATATGCTGTTATCTGATGCCTAACAAGCTTTCATTTTCTATTCTTTCTTCTTCCTGTTCTTTTTCAAAATATTGAAAACAAGAAAGTCAATTCAAAATGTGTTTTTTGGAAACACTGTCAGGTAGTTCTTATTAAAATAATGGCAAACCTTGCTTCAAACTTTTCAAGTGCCTCATGAGCAGACAATAAAAACTGAATTAAACAGCTACTTAACACTCAGAAGCATATCAAAGAAGTCTATTCTAAAATATATAGACACTCCGAAAGTCATGTTTCCTCTCTGTATTATATTTAGAAAAGTTGGTCTGCCTCAAAGGGTTAGCAAAGAACAGCCTAGGTGCCCCGTCTGGCCCACCACCTGTTTTTATCAAGTCTCGCTGGAACGCTGCCTGCCATTCATTTACATAGTGTCTAGGGCTGTCTTCCAGCTGCAATGACAGAGCAGAGTAGCTGTGATGGAGGCTGTGTGGCCCACAAAGCCTAAAATATTTAACTGACTCTTTATCGGAAAAGTTTGCTGACCATCCACCCCCACCCCTGGGTCTACATTAAAAGATTTGTTTATTCTACAAAAGTTGCTTGGAGCACTTTCCTGTTTGTATTAGGAAACAATAAATTAAGCCATATTTTATTCTAGAAATAATTTCTTAAAACTTTTTTATAATAAATTGAAAATACTTGAAAAACTGTATAGCCAAATCAATGCTCCTTTCTTCCAAGTGACCATGAAACAGAAGTTCAAACCTGCACATAAGGTCCTGGCACAACCCGACTTCACTCCCTGCCTGTTTTCTCCTCGCCGCTCACCCTCCACCAGATCATTCCTTCTCCGTTCCTCCGTTATATTCCCTTCACCTCAACTGAAAAGAATGTTCTGTTTTCTGGGCCAAGCAGTATTTTCCTCTTTCTTTTTTCTGCTGACTTTATTTACCTAGTGTTTTCTCATCATCCCACTGTTAAAGCAACACATTCAAATTGAGGAAGTAACTCAAACTCTCTGGGAGAGAGAGCAGTGTGACAGGAGGAAAGAGAAAAAGCACTAAACTACCCAAGGAATTAATGAGTGAGGACAGTCTTCAGAGAAGCCAGCCAAACACAATATAAACGGTATTCCTTTAGCCAAACAACAGAAAATCTTTACTTTGACAAAAGTTAAGGACAGCATATCAGTGAAGTCCCTAACAGCAGTTACTTTATTCAGATAAAAGCAGAGAAAATGGTAAACAGGTAAAAATTTCTCAATGTCTATAAAAAGAGAAATTTATATCTATGCTCAATACTTGAATACCTAAGACTGAATGCCTGACTATGACATAGTCAGTCAGGGCATAACTCACAAATAACTAAGAAACGCATGTCACTGAAGATAAAGTTACTTTAAGAGGTTTTTACAGAATTATAAAGAGCAACTATTCTGAAGAACATTTTCACTAGTTAATTTTAAAAACTCATAGTATAGCAGTTTGAAATAAGTCTTAACAGAACCCAGATTTATCTTAAAAAAAAAAAAAGGCACAACCACTTGAACAAGATGTCACATACACATTATCATCTCTGCACTCTACTATCATCAATTCATAGTAAGGTGAATATTACCTAATTTAAGCCTTTAGTTTTCTAATAAAAATTACAGTGATGAAAAACATCAACATCGATTGGCTGCCTCCTGCACACCCACTACTGGGGATCGAGCCTGCAACCTGGGCATGTGCCCTGACCAGGAATCGAACGGAGACCCTTAGTGCATGGGCTGATGCTCAACCATGGAGCCGCACTGGTATGCCAAGCGAGGAAATGCTTTCAACCTAAATATAACTGGGGATGGTTAAGTCCAGGAGCGCAATGCCTGCCGAACATGTCCTTCACTGCTATCTAATAAGATCTCAGAAAACGAAGTACTTGGACACAGGCTGCTGGGGTTTATCGTACCTCTTTCTTCCTCGTGCTTTTTGGCGGATGCACTTTTAGGTCTTCCTCTTCCTCGCCTGCTATGATCTGAATGGCTGTTACTCCGAGACCTCTTTCTGTTTTCTAAGTCCTTATGTCCTGTCGGGTGCATCTTCTCTCTCCTAGCTCTCTCTGTGCGCCTCCTCTTGGCCTCATGTTTGTTTTCTGTATGGATGAATAAAAGTGATATATTTTAGGGCTTAGCAAGAACTGTTTGTCCAGGTTCTCCCTGTCTGCTTTTTTTTTCCTAAAAGCACTAGAGTTTGCTGCCTGGCAAATTTCATTAAACTACAACCATGACATTTATGCCCCTCATATCCTCACAGGAAAAAAAGAAATTCAACAGAATTTAGGTGATCCATTAACACATGAAGTAGAAGTCTTATAATAGAAGGCTTTTCTTTACTTGGCACCTTTAACTTCAGCCCCTACATGTCTGCACAATTCCACAGTGACCTTTCTGCCCTTTTCTCTCTGCTTCCAAGCTAAAAATGGTGAAGTATCAGAAAAGGGGGAAAAAGAGTTTCATTCTTTTTTGCCACTATCCAAATTATATATTGAAATATGTCAAGTATGCAGAAGCGAAACTGACCTTAGCCATAATATATTAAAGTTACCAATAAAAAACAAACAGAAAGCATCCACAGAAAATATGACAACACTAGGAAAGTAATAGTTTTCATCACTTTAGCCACAGAGGAGGTCATTTCTGATATTCTAAGAACAGGCTGATCCCTAAATGGAATAGCAACAGAGGAACTTGACTCAATATGGTAATTTAATTAATACAAGAAACCACCCTCTCACTCCAAACAAATCAAAATGGTAGATAAGACAACAAAAAATTTTAAGCAGCAAAAACCAAAACCTGCCTTAATACATACCTGAAAAGAAAATTCCCCAAATGCTTAAAATTACTGTGGAAGAGACAAAACACATGCTACAAAATGGAGGAACTCTGAAAACATTAGGCTGAAATAAGCCAGACACAAAAGGTGGGGCGGGGGTGGGGGTGGGGGGGAAGAAGGAATGAGGAGTTACCGTTTAGCGGGTACAGGGTGTCCGTTTGGGAAGATGAAAAGAGTTCTAGAGATGGATGGTGATGATGGTTAAGTAACGATAAGAATGTACTTAATGCCACTGAACTGTGCACTTAAAATGATCAAAATACTAAATTTTGTTATGTGAATTTACCACAATAAAAGATGAAAAAATAAGGTTTGATGAAAAAGAAGTAGAAAACAAGATGAACTACTAAAAAATAAAGTGCAAAAGATACACTATAAAATGGCAGGTCTGCAGACCAAATTACAGATCTAGAAAGGAAATTCAATTAAAGTTCCTGGAACAAAAAGGACAAAAAGAGAGAATATGTGACAGTAAATGAAGAGAAATGAGAAAGGTCCAAGAAATCTAATACTGCTCATCTATGACAGTGTTGTAATTATCTACCCAATATTCATTCAGTCTCCCCTCTTGAATAAGAACGGAACCCTGTTCTGTTCACTAGGGCAATGTGCGAGCTAAAATACACACATCTGAGACTCCTCATGTGAAGCGGCCGTGAAATCCACTTCTGGCCAGTGACATGTCAGTGGATGAGGAAGGTTTCCAGAAAGACTTTTTAAGGGGATGAGCATGGCTGGCCAGCCCCTCTGCCTTCCCTCTCTTCCTGCTTAGGGTGCTGTGGGCTGCCTGGGGTGAAACAGCTGCCTTGTCATAGGGTGGAAGCCACAGCTTCCCAGGATGGAAGGAAGAGAAGAACCTAGGTCCTCGATGGTATCACTGAGCCACTAGTCCTGTGGGGCCAATGTCATCGTTCTTCACTAAACTGTGACAGCAAACTCTCTGTCCAACCCAGGGCCAGTCAGGTGTGCTGTGGATGGTGATCCTTATATGTCATCCAGTAAGTATTGCCAAAAGGAAGAGAGAGAATAATGGCGGGAAAGATTTAGAGGTAAAACTGCCCTAAGCTGCACCCTGGAGCGTTCAGTGGAAAGGCCTGCATGCCAAGGAAGAATGGGAACACTTAAGTGCAAAGCAAAGGCATTTACCACATGCAACATAGGAAATGCACCACTGCCAGAAGCCGGTCCATCCTTGCTGCTTGACACAGTCGCTGCAAGGAAGAAACATCTGCACAGCATATGTTTCAAGGGACCTGGCGTATATGGCATACTGTTCTTAATATGTTTGCTCCCCTACTTAGCGCTATGTGTTTTAACCAAGGTCACCTCTCCGAGAAAGATTGTTTCCCCAGGTGGGGATTTTTCCCTGGAGTTAGGGATTAACAGGACTAAGGAAGAAAATAAATCAGTAAAACCCCTTAACTAAGTGCCAGGCGGGTAGTTAATCACTTTAACTACGAACAATCACGCTTAAGCTACATAATCTTTACTTAGATAATCTCCTTCAGTTACTTCCTTGTAGCTTAACAGAACAATAGAGTAGTGACCTTGGAATGGAGATAACAAACGTCCTAACCTTTGGAATAGAATGGATAGGATTAAAATCAACTGGTATAAATACAGATGTAACGGGAGAATAAAGACAGAACCTGGCGACAGAACCTGGCTAGGCTGCTGATCAACTGAACACTGTTGCCGTGTCATTTCTTCTTCGCCGACTCCGTCCACACCTTTGGGAACCCCTGGACCTGCTAGGGTTGGACCCCAACACACCACCACATGTTTTTCATGAAAATTTTTCCAGGTCTGAAACAATTTCTGCAAAATTTGTTCCAGAAATAAAAACACATGGTTAAAAAAAAAAAGATACATAAGAAAAAGTGGGATTATCCTTGGAGTGCAATGGAAAGAAATCTTAGTCTGACAGTGTGCAGCTGACCTAAACCGTTCTTTTTTTTTTTTAGTTTATTTTTATTGATTTCAGAGAGGAAGGGAGATGGAACGAGAGAGATAGAAACACCAATGATAAGAGAGAATCATGGATCGGCTGCCTCCTGCACTCCCCACACTGGATGGAGCCTGCAACACACAATTCGTATGTCTTTTGCAAAGGCCTAAAACCGTTCTTATTAGAAGTCAGAGGATTCTATTAAAAAAGGTCTTAAAGCCCAGCCGGTGTGGCTCAGTAGTAGAGCATCGACCTATGAACCAGGAGGTCATGATTCAATTCCCGGTCAGGGCATGTGCCCGGGTTGCAGGCTCTAGGCCCAGGAGGGGGCATGCAGGAGGCAGCTAATTAATGATTCTCATCTATTGTAGTTTCTCTCTCTCTCCCTTCCTCTCTGAAATCAATAAAAATATATTTTTAGCTCTGACCGGTTTGGCTCAGTGGAGAGAGCTTCGGCCTGCAGACTGAAGGGTCCCAGGTTCGATTCCAGTCAAGGGCATGTACCTTGGTTGCGGGCACATCCCCAGTAGGGGGTGTGCAGGAGGCAGCTGATCGATGTTTCTCTCTCATCGATGTTTCTAACTCTCTATCCCTCTCCCTTCCTCTCTGTAAAAAATCAATAAAATGTATTAAAAAATAAGTATTTTAAAAATATATATTTTTTAATTAAAAAATTATCTTTTATTGCTTTGATTTCACTTTTTAAGTTAGTGCAATTTTAGGTTTAAAGACGGTTCTCTTTTTTTGTATGAAATCCAAACTTCTTACTCTGATTTACAAAGTCCTACTTAATCTGGCCCCCGCCTAACCCTCTGGCCTCATCGCCACTCTCCTGCCGTCTACACTGCAACCACATTAGTCTTCATGTTCCTAAAATATACCAATCTGTTTCTAGCCTTAGAATTTTTGCATCTGCTATTTCATCTGTCAAGAATGTTCTCCCTGATCTGATCATGACTAGTCCCTTGTTCCATTCAGCCTCACCTTAAATGGCACTTCTCAGAGAGGCCTCCTCCAACCATTCAATCAAAAGCAGCCTTCCAGTCACACGCTGGCACAGTGCTCTATTTGAATACCCTACAAGGCACTTATCACAAGCTAATATTCTCCGTCAATTTGTTCACTGTCTGTCTCCTGCTCACAGGAGCGTAAGCTCCATGACAGCAGCGGGCCCGCCTTGATAGGACATTCATTCATTCACTCATGGCCAAGGCTCTGAATAGCGCCTAGCATAGAGCAGGTGCTCAAAACGTATTTGTAATCAATCTACTCTTATTTGAGGATCATCACTATATGAAGTCTGATTTTACCAAAGAATAAGTAACAAAATTTCATCTTTTAATAAGTATATCCATTGAATAAATCCAATCTGCCTAGTTAACGGGAATGTAAAATAAAATTACTTTTTAGATCTTCTAAATCAGGAAATTATAAACAATAATCAATATATCTAAAAATTACATTCAAACCAAAATCAAGTTATATTTTTCCAGTCGCTAGTTTAAAAAACTCTAAAGTGTTATAAGTTTTATCAGCAAGATGAGAGGAAAAAACCCAAATGTCCATCAACCAGTAACGAGATAAACAGATGGTGGCATATCCATGCAAAGAATGGACATAGACAACAACGTGGCTGAGTCTTAAACTACGCTCAGGGAAAGAAGCCAGACAGACAAAGAGTACATATTACATATATGACTCTATTCCTATTAAGTTCTGGAATAGTGACAGAAAACAGAGCAGCAGTTGGCTGGGGGTGGGGGTAGCAAGACTACAAAGGGGAACTAGGAAACTTTTGGGAATGAAGGACACGTTCATTATCTTGATTGTGGTGACTGATTGGTGTAAACACATGACAAAACTTATCAAACTGTACACTTTAAGTATGTGTGACTTGTTGAATGTCAATTATACCTTAGATTTTTTTTTTTAAATCAAATCAGGTACACACCCTTGCATTAAAATCCTTCAATGGCTCTCCGTACTCCAAAAACAGAAAGTTTGTTACAAGCTTTATCAGCATGATAAGGGATCATCATTTAAATGAATGAACAGCAAACTAATGTCATAAGCTGACTTCCAACAGCTAATAAAAACCAGACATACTTCAATAGATTTTAATGTTTAACTTCAACAAAAATGTAAATAGCAAATTCACAAAAAAATTTAAATTTCTACATCAAATCTAAAAAAGCAGTAAATTCTCAATTACCTGTTGAAGGTGGTGATTTCTCTGGGTGCTTTGCATTTAAAAGTTTTCTGCTAATAAATATGTAACCACAGGGACATGATTTACATGCAACAGGAACCTGTAGAGAAAAAAGAAAAATATATATTATTACTATTTTTCTATTGGTAACCTTCCCAATGTTTACAAAGTCTCCTGAACTGAATAAATTACTTAAAGTAGGAATCATAGATTTATTTAAACCCCAGCTCCTTACAACAAATTATTTGAGATGGGTATTGTGTCCTATACAGCTTCATAAGGCTTTACAATACCATGAATAGGTAAATGAATAAAAAACATGTCCTGATGAAAGTGACCAATAAAAAAGCATAATAGAATCAAAGCCAGGGAAAATACGTGGAAAAGAAAGGTAACATTTGTTAAAAGATTAGTTTGGCCGGGCCCCTGTGGCTCAGAGGTTGAGTGTCGACCTATGAACCAGGAGGTCACGGTGCAATTCCCGGTCAGGGCACATGTCTGGGTTGCGGGCTCAATCCCCAACAGGGGATGTACAGGAGGCAGCCGATTCATGATTCTCTCTCATCATTGCTGTTTCTATCTCTCTCTCCCTCTCCCTCTCCCTCTCCCTTCCTCTCTGAAATCAATAAAAATATATTTAAAAGAAAAAAAAAGATTACTTTCCTAGCCAATATCTCTTGGCAAGACTGTAACTAGTGATGTTTGTACAAGCAAAGACTCTATTTTGTGGTTTAAAGGGGGGGAAAAATTGACTACGTTTTACTTTCAAAAAAAAAAAAAAAAAAGATTAGCCTGACTAGCAGTTTACATAGAACAAATTGGAAAGGGGAACGTGGCTGGAAGCCATTAAAGTAATCCCAAGCATAAGAGTATGAGGGCCCACGCGGAAACAATCGTAAGAATGGAGATGGAGAAAAGGTAGATCTCTGCCAGACATTCAAAAGGAAGAACTGAAAATGACTCAGGTTCTTATATGACAATGTAAGATGCCAATTACCAGTAACACACACACACACACACACACACACTAGTTTACAATAACCAGTTTGAGGGGCAAAATTATATTACAAGCAAAAGAGAATGTAGGAGAAGGTAGTAGTTGAGATCTAGGGTATATAGTCTCAGCTCCAGCGAGGACATTGGATAAAACAATGTGATGGGCTGAGAAAGAAGGTACCTACTAAGAAGGCTCAAGGCTAACTGGGCTCAAGATTATAAAATGGAGCCTACGGGCTGTTTCTACATGGGGGCCACTCAGACAAACTGTGCTCCAGGGATCCATTAACATCTTCACCAACCAATCAGAGTGGTCCATTCTGACCAATCAGGACAGTGCTTTTGGGACCAATCAAACTGTGAGAAATTGAAGTCCTCATTTGCATGAGGATGAACCAATCAGGGACCAGGAGCAGGGACCTGGTATATAAGTCAGCTCCCACACCCTGTTCATTGAAGACTCAAGACTGCTTCCCCAGCTGGAGCTGAAACACTGACGATGAAACACCAGAGATGCCTCCCCACCGGAGTGGGGAGGAACAGGCAGAGCAGGGCAGAGCACAGCTGTCTAGCCAGAGCGGCCTCGCCCAGCGCCACCTCACAGCTGTGCCGCTTCATAATGGAGCTGTAAGACCGAGTTGTATCACAACTGAGCTGTTGGCACTGAGAGTCTCTCTCTTCACCACTCTCCAAACTGGGAATTCCAGTTGGTGTTCAATCGGTGCCAACAACAATCAGTTGACAACACTTAAACTCTTCATGCTTCTACTTCTAAAAATGCAAAATACAAATGGCTCCTTTCTCCATTTCAAATGTTCTTGAAAATCATTGAAAAAAATTTTACATTTCCCCCAATAACCATTTCAATAAATTAACCTTCATGATCCTTGGAGTCATGTTAATAAAAAACCAGACATGTTAATAAAAAACCAGAAATTAATCTCAACAAAAAACACTCAGAATAATTAATCAGAAAATTGCAATTCCCTTTGTAAGATAAATTAATTAATTTGCCCATTGTTCTGCTTGTTAAAAGTTTAGTTACGATCATAAAGCTTTTTATCCGTGCGTGTGTGAAATGCCTCCTACTCTAGAATATACTTTCATTAAGCTAAATAAAAAATTTGGCAGAATTCTTTTTCTTTGCATAAAAATACTGAACAAAGGATACCTAGTTTGAATTTAAGAAAAAAAAACAATCAATCCTATAAAAATAATCAAAATCCAGATATGTCTAACAGCTTGCTCTATTTAAAATGTGATGAGATTCTTTCAAACCATGACAGAAAATGTAACATTACACTTTTAACAGGGTAAAATCTGCCCAAAATAGATATGTTTGTCATTTTAAAAATTTCACATCTTCATAGAAACCAAGCTAAAAGGCACTGACTCATTTCCCTTACCCTTAATCACATCATTAAGGGCAGTCACGGGGATATAAATTGTTCTAAATTAATGCCATTCAAAACCACAGAAAACCTGATGTTCTTATTTAAGGGACTCCTGCTCCTCAGCAAGCCTTCCTTCTACCTGCTGAAACTCAACACATTTCTAGTTAAGTCTCTGTCCTGTACACTAACAAATGTATCAGCCCATATCCAGAATTTGCAGAGGTTGCTACAGTTAGATGAGAAATGTACATTTGGCTTTGGGATGAAGAATACACCAATACTGACTACTTAATAGGTTGATTTTCATCCCTTAATGCATTTTATGCTCAAGAAACGTTCAATGCACCTGAGCTAAGTCACCCTAAAGTCCTTTTCAAAAAGGAAAGTTCCTTTCCCCA